TATAATATGAGCCTGAGCTCTGTGTTGTGTTGTCTTGCTGTGTTGTTTGTTGTGCTGATTGCTGTGATGTTTTGCTGTGTTGTTGATTGTTATTTGGTTTAGTTATTGTATACTAAAGATGCTGTTACTTTTGTAGACAATGACTACAACCAATGAGCAGATAGCCCGTGCCATGGAGTTGTGTTTTTACTGTAACTTTTAATCTAATAAATATAATTTACTATTTAATGTTTTTAATTGCATGTTTATATTTATTGTATATAAATTGTATAATTAATTTACTAAAAAAGTATTATTTTTATTAAATAATTTTATAATTTATTAATTTTAAACTAGATTAACATTAAATAAGGAATTTTTTTTTATAAAAACTGTCGGTAATGTTATATATAATATATTATTCAAATTTTAGTTATAGAAGTGGTTTGAATGATGATTTTTTTGGTGAAAATCATAACTTCTATTATTCGTAAGATCATTTTTTTTTAGAAAAAAAGAAACTGAAATTATAATTTAATATATAATATGGTATCTGCGTGCAAGTAAATGTGATCGGTTGATTTTATAGGTATGTAACTATGTATAAAATGAATATAAGAAACGTTGGGCAATGTGGGTGATGTTCCTTGATTTATTCCTTGGCATTTTTTCGATTTGCCAGTGTGTACATAGCAGCTCAGTGGCGGTGAATTTTTTTGGATAGGGTGCATAAAGAGTAAGCTCAATTCACTGTTATGTTTTAAGAATGCAAGTTGTATGTAGCTACAACTCCTTTGTATCCAAATTTTTAATTTCGTGGGTCATTTTATTATTGTCGCCAATTTCATGAGACCATTTTATTAGTTCGGTTTGTCTTATAAGATAGTTGAAAAGCACACCATGTGTTTGCGAAAATGTGTTAACGATGCTTTTCAAATTCTTATAGACGATTGGAAAATGAAAGAAACCTTGCTTTGTTTGGATTCAGGTAACTCAGTTGGGTGATTTTGACTCCTTGCCTCAGCTTCACTAAGTTGCTGTTTCTGTCCTAAACTCTTCAACCCCTACGTACTGTGTTACCTTACCCTTGTCCCTCACAGACACAGGTCTTCTACTAGGTAATTGATATGTGAAAATACTGATGGGTTATGAAAATATGTTCATGTTGTGCATCTGTGCTTGGCTAATTAAGTTTCAATTATGTGTTATTGTTGTAACTGTTTTGTTTATTCTCTGAAATGGAGGTTTAGAAGAGGCTGGATAGTTTCTCTTTCTCCATGGATCTGCAGGACTTCCTTCTCCGTGCTCGAGTCTTGAGGCTTTACAGGCAAGCATTGAGAGTTGCTGGTCGAGCCCCTTCTTCTGCTAGAGGTGAATATTCTTAAATCTTAATCACCTGGCTCATTCTTTATCCAAATCAACATTCTTGTGATGCTATATACATTCATATATAATTTCGAGAAATGTTAGCCACATTCTTTCTGAGACTTCTTTTTTCTAATGCTTTCTTTATTATTGGATGAAATTTATTAGAAATAAAAAACTTTGTGAGTCAAACCTCTCTTTAATAAGTTTCTCTCTTGATTTAGTGGTAAAATTTATCAAAATTTGTAATTTTTTTTAATCAATAATAAAGAGCTTACAAAAAGTGTTACTATTATTTAGTGATAAAAAATTCATGAGAATGTGTCTCTGAACGGTTAACTGAAGCTGGCAAAATCGAAAGGATGATTTTGCTTCACAATATCATAATTTCGGTCACACTCAGTGTTGTACCGTTCACTGCTCAAAGTTTACTATAAATTATTTAGAATACCTGGTCGCCAAATCAAGCCACGAGCCCTAGGCACCCCATTTTTGGGACAGGGGGATACGAACAATAATGCAAGAGTTTTCCGATATTAAAAAAAGAAGTATTTGCAAATGCATGTTTTTGAGAATTGTAAAGAAACCTCTGCTTAAATGAGATTTGTCTACTTGTGGACACAAATAAATATATAAATGTGGATCATATGTATGAATTTGTCTCATTATCATAGTTTCAGTTTGGTCCGTCCGTAAGAATGGTATGTCTTTACTCTTTACTCCTTACTCTATTTTTATTTTCTTTTTACACCGAAAATTATTCATGGTAGTGTTCAGAATGGCTATATAAATGTGATACATGAATGTAAGTTTTATGACAATGGTTGATGGAATGGAGTGTACAGATGAACTGAGACAGACAATTAGAGAAGAGATGGAAAATAATAGAAACTGCAATGACAAGCAAAGGATCCGTTACTTGATTAGTGAGGGATTGGAGAGACTGAAACGACTGGATGAAATGCTTGATATGCAAGGTCACCGTTGATGGAGTCAATGTGTATGGATATGAAATACAATATCTTCCCTTTTAGAAGAGTAAAAAAAAGAATTGTTCATGAATGATATGGCATCAGTAAAAGTATGGTTTTAAATTCTCCGTTGATTAAAAACACTGCGATGATTAACTCTTTCCAGAGAGATTGTTTAGTGAACTTGACTATGGATGAGAGTAAAAAATATTTTGATTTACTACGTAATAGAATCTTATATTTTATTGAAGTTATCTACCAATTCTTGCTGCCACTTTTTAACCCCACCGAATATGTCGTTAAAGAATTGTATGTAGTGGATAAGATGAAGTCATATGCTTTCCATCCCCTCCCCCCGCGTTCCAATTGCATTCAAATTATAATAGTGTAATAGTTCAATTAATTAAATTATTTAAAGGTGCCGTGAATATTATTTTCAATAAAAAAATGAAATGTTAAATTCAGTGTTGAATTTATAAACTTTATAGATATCGATTTATTTGTTAACTAGAATTTTAGTTTGGACCTGTTAATAAACTCTTCTATAAAAAAATAAAAAATAATAAAAAAACCGAGAGAAGATGGACAGTTTTCTGGAATTCTTTTCAAGTTTTCGGTATATTTAACAGGTCCACATTTTGTAATACAGCGTCTCTTTTCAAAATAAGGAGTAGCTAGGCAATATGTGACACCGACATTTTGGAATACAGCGACTCTCATACTTGATGATATCTGCCTAAAATTATAATGCCAAAATTATTATACAACGACTATTGGTTGTTTCTTGTCAGATTTCAGTGCTGTACATACAACCACTAACTGCATAGACAAGTTTTATGAAAACTTGAAAAAATAAGAAATAAAACAAGAAGAGGCTCTTTTGTCACATATACAAAAGAATTAAAACAATGGTATAAAAAAATGAAAAAAGAAATAAGAGGAAAAGGAGAATGAGCCATGAAATGAAAAAATGAGGGCTCTCAACCACGTTCTCTTTAGCTTCCCATAACCCATTATTCATAACAAATATTCTCTCCATTAGTATCAATACCATTAGTATCAATGGTAACTTGTCATTGTCTTTGTTTTTAGGTATAACTTAAGTTATTTGAAAGTCCAAGTTGACTTGTTAGCATACTTAAAAGACTTGTTTCGTATTAAAACTTTTATTTAGGGTTAACTTCACTCTAGATGAACTAATAAACTAATATATTAATGGAGAAAAACTTTATCAAATTATATTATATGAAAATTTAAACCACTTCAGCTCAAAGAGATAAAGGTAATTAAAGATAGATGCTTTGAGAGCCAAATCTAACAAGCTTATATAGATTATATTTATTTTTTACATCTAATTAGTTTGATTCGATGGATTCATTAACTTGCTAAGTTAAGTCAAGGTAGATTTTTTATTTTTTATTTTGAAAAAGATTGAACTAATTTGACATAGTTCAACGAACTAATTAGACCAGTAAAAATTAGATTTGAAAGGTAACGAATCTATATGGTTCAATCTTTTTTTTTTTTTTTTAAATTCCTTTTAAATTCCTTATAAAATTATTAAAAATAAATAACGAGTTCAATTTGATTTAATCTGATGGACTAACACAGTAGGTCAAGTAAGAAAAAATATGGCCTATGTATAATTCAAGCTAGGTTGACTCGTTTCTCATACTTGGTCGGATAATTTTTAAAATATAAAAATATAATTAATTAAAAACTTAAATTACATATCCATATGAAGTGTTGTTTAAGAAACTACCTAACTACATGTTGTTAAAACCTTTTGGTTGTGTCTATTATCCTCACCTCCGACCTTTTAACAGTCATAAAATGAAGTTTTGATCATCTCAGTCTTTTTCTTGGTTATAGCATGTAACATAAAGGCTACAAATGTTTTACTCTTGATGGAAAAAGTTATTATATCCAGGAACGTGGTCTTTGATGAAGACACGTTTCTTGGTCTGTCTATGTTTGGTACTAACAACATTGCAGGAAAGCCACCTTTTCAAATATCACAAGGAGTACCAAGTATTCCTACCTTGACGTCTCAATTATGTGTTCAACCTCATTATCAGTCGACTTCCAACACTTCTGCTTCTAACATGCCAAATGCTGATCCTGTTCCATCTTCCCCTCCATCCACTCCATCATTGACTAACCCAAACGTTTCATCTCAATCACAACCTAACACACATGCAACAAATCAGCATCCTATGACCACCAAAGCTAAAGCTGGAATCTTCAAGCCACGGGTTCTTCTGGCTACATCAGAACCAACTACTACCACTCAAGCTCTTGCAACTCAACATTGGAAACAAGCCATGCAAGATGAATACAATGCGTTAATGAAGAATTATACTTGGGATTTAGTCTCTCTACCTCCAGGCAGAAAAGCAATAACATGCAAATGGATCTTCAAAAACAAGTATAAACCCGATGGCTCCATTCTCAAACACAAAGTCAGATTAGTAGCCAGAGGTTTCAATCAGTAGCAGGGGCTGGATTATACAGAGACTTTTAGCCTTGTCATCAAGCCTGTTAATATCAGAGTGGTGCTTGCTCTTGCAGTCTCTAAAGGCTGGCCAATTCACCAAATTGATGTGGATAATGCCTTCCTTCATGGTGATCTCAAGGAAGAAATATACATGCAACAACCACAGGGATTTCATAAAGGGAGTTTAAATACTATTTGCAAATTAGGAAAAGTAATCTATGGACTCAAACAAGCTCCACGCGTTTGGTTTCAGAAATTTACTGTCAATTTACTCTGGTTGGGGTTTCAACATGCTCAATTAGATCACTCTCTGTTTATTTTTACTTCCAGAACCACTGTCATATACATTCTTATATATGTTGATGATATAATCATCACCAGTAACTCTTCTGTAGCCATCCAAAACCTGGTCCACACTCTTCATCAATCTTTTCCTCTAAAAGATATGGGCAAACTTCATTATTTCCTAGGCATAGAAGTCAATTATGATAATGTAGGTGGCATTCATCTTTCTCAAACTAGGTATCTAATTGATATACTTTACAAACTCAACATGTCTAATGCCAAGTCTATCAAAACTCCAATGGTGCCTTCCTCAAAGCTCATCAATGATGGCACTGCAATCTGTCAGGACCCTAGTCTTTATAGGTCAATAATTGGAGCCCTTCAATATCTTACTATTACTCGGCCAGGCATTGCTTACACAATAAATAAGTTGAGTCAGCTCATGCATCGTCCTCTTAAGGTTCATTGGAAAGCAACAAAGAGGCTACTAAGATATCTTAAAGGTACTTCTCAACATGGCTTACACTATAAGAAGTCCACTGATATTGACATTTTTTCTTACTGTGACTCGGATTGGGCAAGTGATCAAGAAGACATGAGGTCAACATCTGGGAATTGTGTGTATCTTGGCTTTAATATTGTATCTTGGATGGCAAAAAAGCAAAGAGTGGTCTCCAGATCTAGCATAGAGGCAGAATTCAAAAGTCTGGCAAGTCTGGTTGCAGAAATTCAATTTATTTAGACTCTCCTCTTCAAACTTCATATCAAGAGTAAGCAATCTCCTTTGATTTGGTGCGATAATCAAGGGGCTGTTCTTCTCTCTGCCAATCCAGTTATGCATACTAGAACAAAACATTTTGAATTAGACTTATGGCTTGTGAGAGAGAGTGGCTCGAGGATAAATTCATGTTCGTCATATTCCAGCACGATTTCAAGTAGCAGATCTTCTAACTAAAGTCTCCAAGCTCTGTAATATTTCTAGAGCTTAGGGACAAACTCACTGTTGATAAACAATCCACATTGAGTTTGAAGGGAGATAAAAGGGATATTAAGTCATCTATTTGTAATAATAGATATAGTATGTTAGCTGAGCTGGAATAGTTTTAGTTTAGTTAGTTTAGCTGTTGTATAAATACTCTTGCAGTGTTGCTGTTTTGTGTAATTCAATATATCAAATTCATATTCTCTATTCTATGTTATCATCTCTCTGGCTGTTTCTCTACAATGAAAATTCAAACCACTTCAGCTCAAAGAGATAAAGATGAAGACAAATACTTTTAAATTACTTATAAAATTATTAAAAATAAATAAAGTGTTCAATTTGATTTGTTATGATGGAACAATACATTAGGTCGAGTAAGAAAAAATATGGCCCATGTATAATTCAAGCTAGGTTGACTCGTTTCTCATACTTGGTCTGATAATTTTTAAAATATAAAAATATAATTAATTAAAAACTTAAATTACATTATGCTGAAAATCCTAAAATTGGGCCTAAATTTTGAATGAGTTTAGGCAAATGTAATGGTTCATGATATATACACCTCCTTTTTTCTATAAGTACACCTCCATTTTAAAAAAAATAATTAAAATTTTAAACTATTCTTAATTTTTTTATTTTTAATTTTTAATTTTTTAATTTTACATCCACAACATTTAATTTAGTAAAAAAAATTTCATACATCTTCTCTCCTTTTTTTAATTTTTACATGCACCCCCTTACCTTTCCTTCACCCCACCTATTTTAGTAGCATGTGAAAATTAAAAGAGAAAAAAAAGTGTGTGAAAAAAAAGAAAAAAGTATCAAATTAAAAGTGTAAAATTATAAAATTTATAAAAAAAACTACAATATTTTATAATTTAAAAAAAAAGTATAAAAGAGGTATACTTATAAAAAAAAAAAAAAAAGAGGTGTATATATTATGAGCCAAATGTAATTGGGGTTGAAGATATTAAGGACTAAGGAGAGTGAATGACAAAGGCTCAATAAGGCCCAACGAGTTAGTATTGGTATCCTTTTAATTTTAATTTAATTCGAAATAAAGAGTGTCTTCTCCTGAGCGAGGAAGAAGAGAAGAGGAATGGGAGGAAGCGTCGAAAAATGGCGATGCGTTTGGAATTGGATTCAGCGCCCAAGTCCTTGGAGATGCGCGCAACAGCGTCTCTTGCACGAGGGCCCAGACACCGTCGAGGAGCTTCTCGACAGACACCTCGTCAAAAACAAAAACAAAGACAAAGACGACGAGTTGGAGAATCGGAGGCAACTCACCAGCACTCGCCGAGAAGCGCTGAGCCTGTACCGCGACATTCTCCGGGCCACCCGCTTCTTCACGTGGCCCGATTCCCGCGGCGTCATGTGGCGCGACATCCTCAGAGACAACGCCCGAACCGAGTTCGAACAGGCCCGCTTCGAAACCGACCCGGAAATCGTGACCCGATTGCTTATCGGTGGCCGCGAAGCCCTTCACTCCACTATCGATAAGCTCGCCGATAAGCACAAGCAACAGATTCAGAAAGATGACTCTCCCCAACGCTGAATTATTAAGGTAAAGCAATGCAATTTGTACCTTATCCCTATTCTTAATTAACATGAACTTGTAGAACTAAAGCATCTTAGGGAGGGTTTTGGTACATGCCATTCAAGACAATGTACAAGGTGTCTCTTCCAAGACACTGTTGTTCATTAACTTTTTGTGTGCTAACTACTTCAAATTCATTGCCAGACATGAATTACTACTTAAAGCCATTCTTGCTTTGCCTCCTACTAAATAACTGTAATTAAGAAATGGAAAAATAAAATTAAAAAGCAACCTTTTTATGTGGGATATGCTCAAGATGCATCATGTGTATTGTGTAATTAATCCCTTCTGTTTGACATTGTTATTTCTGAAAGGGTTCTGCAGTGCACCCTTCTTACCTATATGGCATGGACATACTGTTGGTGATTATCTGGAGTTATTTGAATGAGTAGTACAAGTTGATGTACTTTCTTGGCAATTTGGTGCGTGTTTGTTTGGAAATAATTCAGTATTGATAGTGGTAACACTGCTGTTTACTATTTTGCCATTTGAAATGCCCAAATATTGACATAGAATTATAACAGGAAACCACTTGTCAATTTTTCTTTTATATATATTCTAGTTAAGATTAGCTCTTGCAATTGACCGATTAATCGCATTGAAAATTGACTGAAGTAGTTTTTTTTTTAATTAAATTTATTTACTGTAGGACCTGTTCTCCAGGCTTTGAGGCAACAGTATAGTCTTGTGGAATATCTGGCTAAACAAGCAGCACTTACTGTATTCGCATACTAGAAAATTTGTTACCAAGTTATGATAACAAATCTATCGTGTATGCCAAAAGATTTGTTGTACATAAAATTAACTGTCAAGTACCGTTACCATAATGTGTTTGGAATAAAAATGGAAGTTTTGCTTTGTTGTATTGAGAATACAGTTATTTGAAATTTTGGAAGTTGTAATGCTTATCTTACATGACATTACAGGATCATTTTACTTTTGTATTATTTATACATCTTCTAGAAGAACAGCTATACAAAGTTGTGTTTCAAGTGCAATAAGATTTTACAGAAAGTACATAGGCTGACCAATTCAAGATTGTGATTCAATCTTTGGCAGCAAGCAACAAGTGCTCAACGTAAGAGAAAACTAATGGCGATTAACTAATCGTTGTCATCGTTTATCATCATGGTCATAAACTCATCATAAGTAATTTTCCCGTCCTGCAAAATATGCCCCACCTTACTGTAAGTAACAATTCACATGTAGAGCAGAACTACGCGTGTAACTATATAACTTACTTTGTCAGAGTCCACGTAGTTGAAGGCTTCGTCTATAGCATTTTCATCTCCCATTTGGTGTTCAGTAATTGCCTGTCTAAGTTCATCCCTTGTTATATAACTGTCCAAATGGAAGCAGAATTCAGTTAAGCAAGAATGTAATAAGATTCATAACTAAAAAAATAATCTGGTATTCCTAAATGTATGTATAAGGAAAGGATCAAATTAATGAACTTAAGTGAAGACTGACCCGTTGTCATCCTTGTCAAAGTATTGAAAAGCCTTCAGCAAATTCTCTACCTTCTTCATTTTATGCAGATTCATAGTGGCAGCAATGAATTCGATGTAGTCAATAGTCCCATTCTTGTCAATATCAGCCTGATAATACATGTGAAGAATGAAAAGTATGTACCATGATTTAATCTTCCTCGGTAGATAGAGAAAGGTCTTAATTATTTATTTTGTAATTCGTGTGAGAGTGAACTTACAGCATACATTAGCTGCTTCACTTTAGATTCACTAAGCTGGGAACCCAATCTGGACAATCCAGATTTGAGTTCTTCCAATGTGATAGTGCCGCTTCTATCAGTATCCATATTGTTGAACATTTGTTTCAGGCCATTTTTTTCTTCCTCTGGAAGACTTTCTGCTATTACCTTCCATGTTAAAAATAAAACATTCTATTAGTCAAGTATAACTTCCTTTTTTTTTTCTTCTACCTCATATTTTCGTCATACCAAGCATCTGTAACATGTTTTTTTATCTCAAATTTACCGCCATCTCACTTTCCCAAAACTAATACTATTTTAAATTTTTGCGTGGAATTTGAACATATATATCTGTTTCAAATTTTACGCACAGCTGAAAATTGAGACGGACCTTCAACGCAATCTTCTTCATCTGGTTCATTGCTCTGAACCGTTTCATCCTAATTAAAACAGCACTGTCTGGAGACTTGTCAGATGCTTCACCACCTTCCTTCAACCATGGATGTTCTGGTTCAAATGCATAATATGAGAGACTTGAATAATTAAAGTTGGTCTGTAGAAAAATAAAGACTCAGTTTCATCGGGGAATTTTTAATGAGTGTCAATCACATAATCACGGACATGTTCCTTAACCTGTCTGTGTAACTGAGAGATATAATGATTAAAATTTCATTTTGTCTATATTTCAATTTGGCTGCAAAAGATTTTTCTTTTGTGGAATGGGGGGGTTGACAGCATCAATCTGTGTTGAGTTTGGACTTTGTTGAAACGCAAATGACTATATATATATATATATATATATATATATATTCTTATTCGATTATGGTAGAATCATTACACTAGTAAAGCTATCACAATGCAAGTGAAAATGCGGCGACAATACAACATATTTTACCAAGGGCTTCGGCAGCTGTAATGCGTTTCTTTGGGTCAGAAGTCAGCATTTTTCTGACCAAATCTTTTGCAGCGTGAGATATAGAAGGCCAAGGCTCGCTAACCATGTCTATCACACCTCCCAAAATTTCATCAAATATTCCTTTCTCGTTATCTGAAATTGATCGATACGTAAGGTCATCATTAAGTCAATAACATAAAAGCAAAAACAACATGTGTCTATCATGAGTTGAAACATAGCCCATGAAGGGAGCAAGTAACAACATGCATATTCTAAATTGAAATTTTTGTTCAGCATCATGAAATCATGAACTAGACTCCTTAAAGTGTTACAATAAGAAATCGTGTTTGACATTTCTTATTTGATGGAATATAAATCAAATAAATGGCTGACATTCCTTTAGTTTTGAATCATCAATAAGGCTTTTCAAATTTTATGATCTACCATGTTAAAGAGTGCACTAGCAGGTGCAACATTTGTTGCAACGTGCATAATTTAACCAGCGCAAATATGTTCAAGTAACTGTAGAATTCCAAATGATGACTAATAATTCTTTGCGGTGCTAACCAAAACAGAGTGGTACATTCAGGATTCTACTTACCAGCCCAAAATGGAGGCTGCCCACTCAAGAGGATGTATAAAATGACTCCTGCACTCCACACATCTATCTCCTTCCCATAATTTTGTTTCAAAACCTCTGGAGCCACGTAATATGCATTTCCAACCATCTCTGTATACACTTTACCTGTAGAGTTATTTAGTATAATACAATGAACAGATAGAAAAAGAGCTGTGATTATTTAAAAAAAAATAGTAAGACTTCGTTTTTGGTTTTGATGGGAAATTGTTGCATGATCCGATTTTGGTTTTTCATTTTCAGCATGGACACATTTTCATAAGGCATAGATACCTGTTGCAGCTAGTGTGTACAGTGTAATTTCAGGGAACATAATTTTGAATAAATTACACACTCTTAAAGTTTCGTGAAATTGCACGTAATTTCTCAATTTTTAAACTTTTATGGAACATCCTTAAAGAGGACACAAGCAATATTTAAGGAGTGCTTGTCATGTTTTTCAAGCAATTAAGTAGAGTCAGGTTCTGTTTTAGTAATCTTTTCTAGAAATACTTTTATTGTTGAGAAAAATAAGAAGGAAAAAAAATAAAATTAAGTTTCTCTATAAATAAGTTAATCAGTATTCTGTGAAACTCTCTTTTTAATTTCTCTAAAATCTTATTTAACTTATGAATAAACTAGTTTTAATTGTGAGGAAACTTATTTTGATTTTACGATTTTTTTCTTCTTAAAAGTTAACTATAAATTTATCAGCAATCTTGTAAAATTTCGTAGGGTGGCAATGCAATATACTGTGAAATTTCTGTTTAGCAACTTCATTACTATTTTGCTATTGACCTAGACAAATAAAGAGCATAAAAGACATGGGCATGTGCCTCCTAACCTTCTTCTATGAAGACAGAGAATCCAAAATCACTGAGTTTCAACTTGGCACTATGGTCTTTAGAAACGAACAAGAAATTCTCAGGCTTGAGGTCTCGATGCATGACACCCATGAAATGGCACCCATGAACAGCACTCACAATCTGTCTCATGATGGTGGCTGCTTCACGCTCCGGGTAGCACCCTCGGTCAACGATTCGGTCAAAGAGTTCACCCCCACGACACAACTCCATCACAAGGTACACGTTCTTTCTGTCCTCGTAAGCTCCCTTGAATTCCACAACGTTATGTTGCTCCGAAACATGCTCCAGAATCATAACCTCTCTTCTAATAAAGTCACTTTCTCGCAGCTTCTCTTTTGGTATGAATTTGCATGCATACTCTCGTCCCGTGGCGTTCTCTACACATAGATAAGTGACACCAAAGCTTCCTCTTCCAAGTTCTTTCATAATCTTGAACATGTGTTTTATTGCAACGTAGGGTTTCCCTAGGAGTGCTTCTGTTTGTGAACAAAATTGTGTTGTGGGCGCATGATGAGGAGGAAGTGAGGGTGAAACGGGCTGGTTAATCCTAGGTTGTTTGTAGGTGAGTCGAGGAGTGGGATCAATGGGAGTTTCATCATGGTTTGGTTTTTGTGATAGCGGCTTAAACAACCTCGCTCCCATTCTCAGGACACAGGATTTTTGGTTAAGCAAAGTGAATTTGGCTGTGTTTGATTTGCTATCTTCAACATGTTTTCAGAATCGGACCTTACAACTTGTTTGCTTTGGTATGATTATTTGGTATTTTCACTTTGTGCTTTTCTTCTTTACTTCCATTGGTGGCAAGGATGAGCATAGATTCCAATCTGGATAATCAGTTATAACATGATTATAAATAATAAACTCCTATGTATTTCCCATCTTTTAATGCTACACGATAATGCAGTGTAGTTTGAGTTGGGTCACAGGTTATAATGGGTAGATCCAGTGATAGATTTAAAATTTTAAATAGTGAAAGAATACTTATTCATATATTTATTCATATATTTATAATATTAAAAATTTTATATATAATTTTTAAAAGTATAAATATATATTATAATTATTTTTTATAAGTTTTTATATCTACAATTACGATTTAAGATGAAAATAAATTAGGTTAAGTTATGTTATATTATAATTTAGTAGGTTTGAACTTAATTTTTTTTTAAAAAAAATACATATCCTAAATATAACTTATTTATCTGTCATAGTCATTTTTTAAAATATTTGGCTAGAATTATAATCCTAAAGACCTACTTTATAATAATTTAACACTAATAAAAACATAAAAATAAATATGTTAAATTGTATAAAAATCAAGTTTAATTTATTTAGATATAAACATGTTTTTAATATCTAATATGAATTTTTAGATGATAATTTATTGATGATAATTTATTTTAAAAAATTTTATAATAAAAATTCTAAATAAAATATAAATCTTTCAATTTTTTCAATTTTGAGTTTTTTAATCGTATACAATAAATAGAGAGTACAAATGATAAACATACATATGTTGTAAATTTTATTTTATAAAAAATTAATTTTTAATATATTGCATTATATATGTGAGCATTAATATATATATATATATATATAATTATAAGTGCATATATTAGTTTATTTAACATAAATAGTAGTTTTATATTTTAGAAGAATTTTTTTTTATTTTCTAGAAGTAATAAGCTTAAAATTACATATATATATATAATATATATATATATTTATAATATATATATATATATATATATATATATATGTGTGTGTGTGTGTGTCTGTGCGTGTATTTATTATATTAGAATATAACTTTTATTTTTAAAATATATTATTTTTTGATAAAAAAAAATATGTATGTGTAAAATGGTAGTGGAACAAGTGTTCCCACCGCCCTCCATGTAGATATGTTCCTAGGTAGACCAAATGTTTTTTTTTTTACTTATTAAATTCGACCTTCTAAATGCTTAAACATGACACTATGACTTGAGATTTTTTTTTTTTGGGAACGATTCACATTTTTGTTATTTTTTTTTAATTGATTTCTTTTCTCCAAAATTTAAAGTTGATAATTATTATGATAAATATTTTTTTATTAATATGTTTTCATTGTAAAAACATTTTTTATTGTGAAAAAAAAATTATATATTATGAAGCAATCTCATCTATCATTTTAAATATAGTAGATAATTTCTCTAGAACTACTTCTAGAAAAAAAAAAGGATTGAAAAATAAAATAATATTTTTTAAAACAAAATAATTTATGTGAGTTTTTTTTTTAAAAAAGGATTTTAGAAAAGTTAATTAGAGAAAATCTCTACAAATTAATTTATACATAATCTAATTTTAGTATTTGTGAAAAAATTTATTTTATTTTATTTTTCTCTCTTAGAAATATTTTTGGAGAAATTTACTCAAAAATTTCCTTTATAAAATTTATAGTATAAAAAGCACCAATATATTTAATAGTTTATGCCAGCAAGTTTTTGAGTGAAAACTGCACTTTAGAGACTAGTTTTAGCGACGGATTTGCAAAAACAACTACCAAGTCTTCAAATCAGTCTCTAAAGTGGTCACCAAGGCTGTTACTAAATCTGGTTACCATTTTAGTTAAAATTTTCAATTTTTCTTTGTATTATATTTCAATTTTTTCTTGTAATTCATTAATCCCACCCTTGGGTTAATTCCTTGTTTCTCTTTGCTAACTCAAACTCACATTTAGGAGTGGTTGTTTTTGGGAAAAACCTTTGCTTAATCCCACCACTTCCTAAATAGTTTTAAATAAAGATTAAAAAAATCAAATAGCACTTGTGGAAGTGTCCCCAAAAGGATTTAAGTGTCATTTGGGCTTCCACTAGGATTCGACTAATTTACTTGTTTTCATAGAACGTATAGTACTTATGGAAGTGGTCTAAAGGACTCCTAGTGTCACTTGGACTTCCACCCTTGGGAATCTGACTAGTATATGCTTTAATTGCTTTCCTTCATTAATTTACTTTCTAATTATAATTAAGAACGTTCCAAAGTTCATTTAGAATACTTCTTTGCCTACTAGGGGTTTCGTGCACACACACTTCTATTTGACTTGACTTGTGTGAAAAATTGTTTTGTGAGACAAGTATAAGGGGGTTTAATTCTACTTGAAAATGCTTGGTTATTAAATGGTTCCTTTGTAGCTCACCTCCCTTAATGGTACAATTTGTATACTTAGACCTCCAAGTACTCACTCTTACACCAAAAAGAAAAACTTTTTGTGAAAATCTTTATCACTCAATTTTCGCAATTCTTTAGAAAATTTATGAAAACCTTTCTCCCCAAAAATGGGTGATCATTATCATAATAATAGTGTGCATGGTCGTTATTCTCCTAGAAGTCATAAGAGTACTAAAAATGAACTTAGGAACTTAGAGATTATATTAGAAAAAAAAAAGAAATAGAAAATGAAAAAAAAACAATGAAACTATAAGAGAGTTATTAAGCAAGCTAGTAGTGGGTGGTGAGGCTAGCAAGCCCAAAGTCCATGACGACAATGGGCCTTCAAAGCCAAAGAGGCAAGATGGTGAGGGACCTTTCAAGTCTTCTAGAGTCAAACATGTGGAAGGAGGTTCATGGCCCAAGACCCATCATTCACAAGCTCACTCAACCTTAAGTGAAGGGTTTTATAGAAGTTACCATGATGATGGCTACTATCAAAGACCCCCTAGGCATTATAGGCCTATGCATGACTTTCTTAAGGAACCTAAAGTTGACCTTCCTCCCTTCCATGGTAAAGATAATGTAGAAGTTATTTAGATTGGGAGATGAAGGTGGAACAATCTTCACTTGCTACAATGTGAGTGAAGAAAATAAAGTACCTTCGGCCACCCTAGCCTTTCAAGAGAGTGCCATGTATTGGTGGACTTCCCTAGTGAGAGAAAAACAACTTATGAGATAGCCCTCCATTAAGTATTGAAATGAACTTAGGAGTGCCTTAAGGAGAAGGCACATTCCTCCCTATTATGAGAGAGAGTTAATGGACAAGCTCCAAAGACTCCAACAAGGAAATCAAAGTGTGGAGGAATATAGGCAACAAATCGAGTTGCTTATGCTAAGAGCTAGAATTAGGGAAGAAGAAAGAACCACCATTGCAAGATTTCAAAGTGGCCTTAACTTAGACATTAGGGACAAGGTTGAGCTATTTCCATATAAGGACCTTAATGAACTAATTCAACTTTGTATAAGGGTAGAAAATCAATTAAGGAGAAAGTCTAGCCTTAGGAAGGAGACCTCTTACTCTAATAATGATTACAAGAGGGAGGGGTCGTCTTCCCAATCCAACATAGAAAGGTCACAACAAAAGAATAAAGAGAAAGAAAAAGAAAATCCTAGAGATAAATCTTCAATAGAATCTAGGGCAAGTTCTATCAAGTGCTTTAAATGTCTAGGGAGAGGATACATAACCTCCCAATGCCTGTAGACACCCAATTTCGTCTGGGGGCATACAAACAACAAGATAGGACATCAGAGGGCCCAAAAACCCAAATTAACTATTTTTAGTGGTCCGGAACGGGCTGTTCCAAAAGTCCAGAACGGGCCGTTCTAGAATTGGAACGGGCCGTTCCAAATCAATCAAAGGGCCTTAAAACCTTGATCTGGAACGGGTCGTTCCTAAACCAGAACGGACCGTTCCAAAAGGTTAAAAAGGCCTAAAAAACCTAGTTTAGAACGGGCCGTTCTGGAAGGGAATTTAGTATTAATTTGTACCCCGGAACGGGCCGTTCTCATTTCAGAACGGGCCGTTCTGGTTTTCTGGAACGGGCCGTTCTGATTTCAGAAAGGACCGTTCTAGGGTGCAAAGTTAACATTTAACGTTTAGATCCGGAACGGGCCGTTCCGGCCTACATATGATGCCTATAAATAGAAATCTCGGGCACAGTTCTCAGGGACCCCAAAAATTTCGTCCAAAGCTCCTTAGAGCTTGAAATTTCTCTCTCTCTCTCCTATTGTATTTCTTAAGTTTTGTGAGGCTTATTATAGTGTGAAAGGTTGCCAAAAAGCACCTAAATCTCCATATTTGAAGATTAATAGAGCTCGTTCAAGGGACATTTCAGTTAATTTTCTTCTCTCTCTTTTATTTCTTATCTTTGATAAATATTGTTTATAATAAAAGCAATCATGTAGACATTTTAGGGTCAATTGTATAATTTAAATTTCAAACATGTAAATAATTATTAAAAAAGGGAATTTAATATTTACATTATTATTGTTTATAGCTCTAACTTCATCATAGGGTACCAATTGAGGGCGTTGTAGGGGTGCTTAATAGACCCTCGAACCCAATTCTGGTTATCAAGGCCATTATTGGATTTTTAAAATCCTTTTCTTTTTCCAATGTTTTGAGTAAAACATTGGTGGCGACTCCATGAACTCATTTTTCAAAACCATTAATTAAGGATTAGTCTGGTGTCCGGACATTCCTTAATTGATGAGATCTTTAAAAGGATGTCTAAACCATAGGTTGCAAGATCGAAAATTTTTGGGTTGCGACAGATGGCGACTCCACTGGGAACGTTTAAAGAGGGTCAGACCCATTTAATTGATGAAGTTAATAAAATAAAAATAATAATTTAAATATTTTTTCCTTTATTTTGTTTGTTTTATTTGCTTGGCTTTAATATCTGTTTGCCTGTTTAAATTCTGCACTTGTTGGAATACAAATTATACACAAAACCTTTGCACACAACAGTTCTCCCTACACCCGGGGGCATGAGGGTATTACACATAGGCAGTGATTGATGTATGACCGGCCCAAGTTTGGCCTTGGAGCCTGTAAGCCTTG